GGCCTGGGCCGCTGGACCCGGCGACGGGCCGTTGACCATCGCCTGGACTCCACCATCTGCGAGACCTACGGTCTGGCCAAGGCAGGGGCGCGCCACCATGGCTATACCGGCCAGCGGGGCTATCACCCGCTGCTGGCCCGGGCCCGGACTCTGGGGCCGGCACCGGCGACGTGCTGATGTCTCGGCTGCGCGAGGGCCGCGCCAACACCGTTCGAGGCGCCGCCCACTTCCTGCGTGAGACGGTGAGGCGGGTGCGCTACGGCGGGGCCAGGAGACAACTCACGGTGCGGGCCGACAGCGGCTTCTATGCCCACGCCCTGGTCGCGGTCTGCCGCGCAATGGATGTCCGCTACTCCATCACCGTCCGCCAGCACGCCCGCCTGCGCAATATCATCGAGGCCATACCCGAGGAGGACTGGACGCCGATTCCCTACTGGATGGACGGCGCCGCCGACGTGGAGGAGACCACTTACACCCCTTTCCAGAGTGAGCCTGACGCCGTGCCGGTGCGGCTCATCGTCCGACGGGTGAAGCCCACGCCCGGTACCCAGTTGGCCCTCTTCGCCGCCTACAGCTATCACGGCTTCATCACCGACCGGGACGGGGCAACCCTGGAACTGGAGGCCGACCATCGGCGCCACGCCGAGATCGAGAACGCCATCCGAGACCTCAAGTACGGCGTGGGGTTGAACCATCTCCCCTCGGGGCGCTTCGCCGCCAACGCCGCCTGGCTGGCCGTCCAGGTGATCGCCCACAACCTGGCACGCTGGACGGCGCGCATCGGTCTGGGCGAGCAGGTGGTGACCACCAAAACCCTCAGGCGACGCTTCTTCTCCCTCGCCGGACGGCTCACCCGTTCGGCGCGCCGCCTCACTTTGCATCTTCCCCAGCGCTGGCCCTGGGAAAACCAGTTCAGTCGCGCCCTCGCTCGATTGCGCGCCCTGCCACTCCCAACCTGACGGCGCCCGTCTCCCACTGACCCGCCATCCGGCCCACTGAACGTCCCCGCCAACTCGCACCAACTCGCACCAACTCGGTCCGCGAGGGACACTTCCTGCCTACCGCCTGTCGAATTCCGCCCGCCATGGCCGCACGGCCGTCAGCATCGTGCCGGTGTGGCTGCCCTCACGCCGCCCTCATCCCCATCTATTAGAATCTGGCTAAGCCCGTTCGCCTTCCCTTACCCATCATCCCTGGTGTCAACGCCAGCGCCCATCGCTTCGGTGGATTCGGGTTTAGTGAGCGGGACAATTGATGTCGCTGAGGTCCTTGTACGAAAGCCCCGATCCTGACGAAGAAAAATCGAATCCGGTACGCAGTGGATCCGGAGGGGCTGCCAAAAGCACCGGACGATTCCAACTCGACGAAAGAAGTCGATTTCCTTCGGTCGTGTAGCTACAACGACTACCAAGACCAATTGGACGAACAATCACGTGGCCCGACAGAAGGGTTACAGCAATTTTCTGCGGAAAGCCAGGCCAGGGCCGAGGATTTTGCCCGGCGGTGGCCAGACTGGGAACAAATTTAAGCTACCATTACCAAGATACCCGTCGGATCCGGTGCCAGCTCCAGGTAAATTGGCGTCGTCTTGATGTCGGGATGGCCAGACTTCTAAAGTCTGGCCGCAATGCCATTGGCCGGGTTTCGTACCACGGCAAGCAGATGTAGTACAGTCGTATACGGCATGATAGTGTATGCGATACGTTTCAATAACCCACTATTACATCGATAATCGATAAAAAAACGACAGCCCGGGGAGAATAGGGGTTCCCGGCCAGCTTTCCAGCCACCGACTCGGGTAGTTTAGCGGCGTGCCGTTCTTCAAAAGGTTCCGGGTGTAGCTATGTCTCAGCGTGTGCGTCCCAACGTGCCGGCCAGTTGCCAACTGTGCCCGTTCCTCCGCCAACTCCACTGCCGACTGCACCCGCCCCCAGGCCGTTGTCCTGTAGGACTCGATCAGTCGCCCCGGTCCCATGGCGCCGTAACTGGTAGCCGCAATGAGGGCGGTTCGCAGCTTCGGATGCAGCGGCACCGCCTTGGCCCCGTTCCCCTTGCCCCGTCGCGCTCGCAGGGTCGGACGATCCGATTCCAAGAACAGGTCGCGCTTTCCCGCGTCAACGCCTCTGGCACCCGCAGTCCGGTGCGCCACTGGGTCAGCATCAGCAGATTTGCCCGGGTGTGGGGCGCTGAGATCGGGCCCGCCGTGGGACGCTGACGAGTATGTCAGCATTGACAGGTTTTGACGCTGGGCTAGAATGACCCGTACCCGAAGTTCAGGGAGGTTGTTCGTGGCAGATACATACTCTGAAGAGGAACTGCTGGACCTGGCACGGAAGTACAGCTTCCGCAGTCGGATGGACCGGAGCATCGTAACCGGCCCCATATTCGTTGGGGTCGCGGTTCAGTGGTCCGCGACATCAACGGAAAGGAGTATCTGGATTTCAATTCCGGCCAGATGTGCGCCGCATTGGGCCATAACCATCCCCGGATCGTACAAGCCCTCCAGGAAAGCTGCGAGTCGCTGATTCACAGTCACATGACGATGTTCAACGATCGGGAGATTATTCTCGCGAGCCGACTGGCGGAGATTACACCTCCCGGCATGAACCGGAGTATGTTCCTCACCTCGGGCAGCGATTCCAACGAAGCTGCGATGGCAATTGCCAAACGCTACACTGGCGGCTACGAAATAGCCAGCCCGGTGGTCAGTTTCCACGGCATGAGCGACGCCACCCGGGCCGTTACCTTTTCTGGTTGGCATCAGGGGTATGGCCCTTATGCGCCCGGCAACTACCCCATCATCGCCCCTTACCGGTACCGGTGCGCTTTTTGCCAGAATCAACAGCGTGCGACTACACCTGCCTGGACACCAGTTTTGAGTTGCTGGACGCGCAGGCCGACGGTCGTATGGCCGCCGTGATTACCGAGCCGTTATTCAGCGCTGGCGGCGTGATAGAACCACCTCCTGGTTGGCTGCAGGAGTTGAAACTACGCTGTGAGCGGCGGGGAATGCTCCTGATTCTCGACGAAGCGCAGACTGGATTGGCCAAATTGGGATCAATGTGGGCCTTCGAGCAGGAAGGCGTCGTGCCCGACATTTTCACCATCTCAAAGCACTTTGGCGGTGGTATCGCCATCAGCGCCACCATAACCACCGATGAAATTGAGGAGAAGGCCGTGGAAACCGGCTTGGTCGTGGCTCACTCCCACTCCAACGACCCAATGACCTGCAACGCTGCCATCGCCAGCTTGGACATAATTCTCGAAGAAAGTTTGGTTGACGTTGCCAACCGGATTGGGAAATATTGGCAGGGGCACCTGCTCAATTGAAGGAGCGGCACGAACTGGTGGGCGATGTTCGCGGTCGAGGGCTGCTCCAGGGAATTGAGTTCGTTACTGACCGTGTAAGCAAGAATCCTGCTTATGAGCAGGGCCAACAGATTGGGAGATTGTGCCTGGAGAACGGGCTGATCGTAAGCGTTCGCCGGCGTGGTTCGACGCTGCGGTTCGTGCCGCCGTTCACCACGACGGAAGCCCAAATGGACCTGGCCGCGGACATACTGGACCACGCCATAGCGTCCGTTTCGTGACGGAATAGGTCCGATCCACCTGGATTTTCGTTACAAACCGGGACGCTTGGGACGGGTTTGCGGGGTGGGATCGGTGCTGAGGGTGGTGGCGGTGGTGGCGTCGTATGCAACCAAAGCACCCATTTTGTTACACTGCCGTCCATGACCACCACCACGCTGAGCGCGCGCCGCATCCGGGGAATCCACCCCAAAGGCGGTGAAACGCAACAATCACTTCGAGGGAAAGGTTCCAACCTGCCGGAGTACCTGGAACAGCCCGAAGGCCAGGCCGTCATCGCCTCCGCTCCGAATCTTCCAGTGCAACTCCTGATGCTGGAGCAGCGGCGGGCCGGCCGGCGGGTGTCCGAGGCGTTGGCGCTGGAGAAACGCGACCTAATCCTGGACTCGGGCCGGTCTACGCTCCGGCTGCTCCGGGGCAAGGGCAATAAAACTAGAGTGGCGCAGCTGCACCCTGAACTGCAAACTGCTCTCATCACGGCGACCAGTTTTGGGGCCGTGGAACAGGGGCGGTTTATCGAGACATCCAGGACGACGGCATGGCGTTGGGCGCAGGTGGCGGCAGAGTTGGCGATGCAGCGTGGGCAGTTAGCTTCCAGCCGGCGCGTCGGAACTCACACGCGCCGCCACAGTAATGCACGGCGCCTGCTGATGCACGTAATCCCGATCAACCACTTGTCCCGGTGGCTGGGCGATGCCTCAGATCACACCGACGTTGGTTTACCTGAAATTTGTGCACGACCCATCGGGGAGCCTGGCAACGGTCCCACGACATTTGCCGCAGTCAAATACTCGTTCGAATTGATCAGCTGAAAGGCTTGGAGCTCGAGCCTGTGCTGCCGTTCTGAGCGCGAAACGGCAACTGCGATATTCCTGCTTGAAACCAACCCGGAAGACGGGACGGTAGGACCATAGACTAAACACCGAAAGGGGGAAAAGAGATGCCAGAGAAGAAACGTATGACTACCAGGCTCAAGGAGCTGTTTGAGCGTCCGGAGATTTTCGTTCTGGCCGGCGGGATGAACGCCATGGGCGCAAAGATGGCCGAGGTGCTGGGGTTCGAGGCCTTTTACATGTCCGGGGGAAATACCTCGGCCCAACTCCTGGGTTGGACCGAGGGCGGGACCAGTATGCGAGACATGGTGGACAATGCCAGGCGCATCGTAAACACGGTGGACATTCCGGCGTTCGTTGACATGGATACCGGCTACGGGGATGCCGTTATGGTTTACGAGACCGTGAAGGAATACATCCGGGCCGGGATCGCCGGCACCCACCTGGAGGACCAGACCTACCCTCCGAAGAGCGGTCCCCGCCGCAGGTGCGTTTCCATCGAAGAGATGGTGGGCAAGCTAAGGGCCGCGATGGACGCCAAGATGGAGCTGGACCCGGACTTCGTAATTGTGGCCAGATGCGATTACGCCGGCGTCCCGGGAGCGACCTTCGAGGACGTGATGGAACGCTGCCTGGCTTACAAGAGCCAGACCAACGTGGACGTAGTCTGCCCCGCCGTCGCGTCCTGGGAGGACAACCAGGAAGCCATCCGGCGGATACCCGGTCCAGTGCTGCCACTGTTCACCCACGGGAGCCAGACTCATCCCACTTTGGAAGAGTTGCAGGAAGCAGGGGCCGCCGCAGCCTGGTATCCCGGGCTCACTACCATGGCGGGGCTTCAGGCGTCTTGGGACTTACTCAGCGATTTCCAGGAACGGGGCACCGGCGCCATCGACGATTTTTTGGCGACGGCTGCTCAAAGCAGGTGGGGTGTGGCCAGCAACGGAGGTATCCTGGGGGCGCAGCACATTCGGGAGATGGAGGACAAGTACCTGCCATAAGAGAGACCGAACCAGGAACACAGGATGTGGTCACATTAGAGGGATGCTGACCTGATCATCCAGGTGGGCCGTTGGAGGTCAGTACTCAATCCTGGAATTACAGGGATAGAGGCGATGCAGTTTGGCTCTGGCGTCCTCAGTCCCTGAACCGCCAATTGAATGTGGTTCTCGCGCAGGCGGGAATCCACGCACCTCGTGTCATTGCGAGGAGCGTTAGCGACGTGGCAATCCCGTCCCGTCCCCTCGTCTTTCCCGCGAAAGCGGGAATCCAGTGCCCGAAGTGCAATTTCTAATGCAATTGCCTTGGGTATTGCCCTGTCCGGGTGGTCGTGGCGAAACCTTGAACGTATGATCGCGCGTGAGCATGGATACTGGTAACGACGGTCGTTGACGTCGAACCTTGCTGGACCGAAGGAGGTATCAATGTCAGAGTCGTTGGGCGCCAACCAAATCATCCAACTCCACGATCAATTGTGGAGGATCTGAAGATCAAGGGTCACATCGAGACCCCCGAGGTCGAAGCAGCCTTCAGAGTTGTCCCTCGGCACCTTTTCCTACCCGACGTTCCTTTGGAAAGGGTCTACAGTGATGAAGCGATTCTTACCAAGCTCCAGAACGGACAGCTAGTCAGTTCGTCTTCGCAGCCCGCCATGATGGCCATTATGCTGGAGCAACTGGGATTGCAACCGGGGCACCGTGTGTTGGAGATAGGCGCCGGTTCAGGCTATAACGCGGGTCTGATGGCGCACATAGTCGGCGATTCAGGGCAGGTCACAACAATTGACATCGATGAAGACCTCGTCGAAGGCGCCCGAAATGGCTTGAGGGCGGCGGGCCTGGATGCCGTAACCGTCGTTTGTCAGGACGGAGGGTTCGGTCACCCCGACCACGCACCTTACGACCGGATAATTCTGACTGTAGCAGCATGGGATATCGTTCCCGCCTGGAGGGAGCAGTTGAAACCGGGGGGACGGTTGCTCTTACCGTTGGAAGTTGGTCGAAGCGTTCAGAAATCGATCGCCTTCGATAAAACAGGCGACCAACTGGAGAGCGCATCGGTCAAGGATTGCGGGTCATGCCCTTAGCCCAATCCACCGAAGGGATAAGTGTGGCGGCGTTGTGAAGGGGTAAGAAAGTGCTCCCGGCTTCGGGGATAATGGTTTCTGACACATGAAACCAGCCCGAAACGAGGAGCACCCAAAAGATGCTACCACTTGAGCAGCCCGACCGCATCCACGTCGCCTTCGACGATCATCGCCTGGTGGCCAATGCTGGGCTGCTCTTGCCGGTTACTCTGGCCCGCCATCTGGGACTGGGCGAGCTGGTGGACCGCCATGTTGACCTGGGCGGCGCTCCTGGCCGTGCCAACGTCGGCGACAAGATGCTGACCCTGGTGGCGTCAGCATTGGCCGGTGGCGACTGCATCGACGACGCCGACGCGCTGCGCGCTGGGGGAACCGATCGGGTGCTGGGCTGTGTGATCAAGGCGCCCTCCACGCTGGGGACCTTCCTGCGGAGTTTCCGGTGGGGCCACGTGCGCCAGCTGGATCGGGTGAGCCGGGAGTTGCTGGCTGGGGCCTGGGCCGCTGGGGCGGGACCCGGCGACGCACCATTCACCATTGATCTTGATTCCACCATCTGCGAGACCTACGGGCTGGCGAAGGAGGGGGCGCGCGACCACGGCTACACCGGCCAGCGCGGCTACCACCCGCTGCTGGCCGTGGCCGCTGGCACTGGCGACGTGCTGATGGCCAGGCTGCGGAAGGGTCGGGCCAACACCGCTCGGGGCGCCGCCCACTTCCTGCGGGAGACGGTGGGGCGGGTGCGCTACGCGGGGCCAGGGGACAACTCACGGTGCGGGCCGACAGCGGCTTCTACACCCATGACGTGGTGGCCGTCTGTCGCAAGACGAAGGTCCGCTTCTCCATCACCGTCCGCCAGCACCAGAGCCTGCGCAATCTCATCGAGGCCATACCCGAGGCGGACTGGACGCCCATCCCCTACTGGATGGACGGCGCCGCCGATGTGGCCGAGACCACCTACACCCCCTTCGAGAGTGAGCCCGACGCCGCGCCGGTGCGGCTCATCGTCCGGCGGGTGAAGCCCACGCCCGGTTCCCAACTGGCCCTCTTCGCCACTACAGCTATCACGGCTTCATCACCGACCGGGACGGGGAGACCCTGGAACTGGAGGCCGACCATCGCCGCCACGCCGAGATCGAGAATGCCATCCGAGACCTCAAGTACGGCGTGGGGCTCAACCATCTCCCCTCGGGCCGCTTCGCCGCCAACGGCGCCTGGCTGGCCGTCCAGGTGATGGCCCACAACCTGGCCCGCTGGACCGCGCGCATCGGTCTGGGTGAGCAACTGGTGACCACCAAGACCCTTAGGCGACGCTTCTTCTCCCTGGCCGGACGGCTCACCCGCTCGGCGCGCCGCCTCACTTTGCATCTGCCCCAGCGCTGGCCCTGGGAGAACCAGTTCAGTCGCGCCCTGGCACGATTCCGCGCGCTGCCTCTCCCGTCCTGACGGCGCCCGTCCGCCACTGACTCAACTTCCCCGCCAACTCGCGCCAGGTCCGGTCCGCGAGTGCTTCTTGCCGTGTCCTATCCCGCCATCTCGCTCACCACAGCCATCGCAGGCCGCTATCAGCACCCCCAATAGCGCCGACAGACCGCCGGCCAACCTCCAATCTACCCGAATTCGAGCCCGAACCGTCGCGTCTGTAACTTCTTCACCCCCTTCCGCTATCCTTGCGCCGTCCATCGGTGGATTCGGGCTAGGGGAGACTTCGCCCGGCCCCTGGAGTACATCCTTTGGCCGGATCCGGGGCTCGTTGTGTCCGTTGACGATCCAACAAAAGTGGATGGAGAGGTTGTTTATCGCCTACTGTCAGGCCCGTCTGAATATGCGCCCACCGGAATATGTGCAACTCCGGGTGAGGTCATCTTTGGCGGACTGGCTCTCTGGCTCAGTTTGCACGAGCCCGGCTTTTGCGTCCTATCCGCCGAGGGTCAGATGGCAGACCGCGGCATCGTGCCAGGTTTGATGGAATTATCAGGAGAGTGGAGAAGATGTTGGACTAATGGACTGCTTTGGGATGATGGCCTTTGTGTGTTTGCCCGCCCTCCCGATCATTCTTCTTCGGAACAGCCGGGCGTTCCTCAAGCTTTCGAACTGTATTTACAAGGCTACGGGTCATGGACTGAGCATGCCGAGCGCCTGATCCGGCAGGTGCGACGTTGGGAAGCCGCCGGCCGCCCAGCCAACGACCGAATTCGCCTCAGGGCGTGCCCCATTGACATGGATTATCGCCCGTCGGCCGGCGAGGTTGTGGTACGCAAACGATGGACCCAGCTCATCCTGGACTGGGGATAGGTTATGTGACGTGATCAGGGGTCGCCAAGAATGTTGGTCTGGGCCGCTTGCCGTAGCGAATGCCAGGAACCATGCTAACGGAATTGGTACACCGCGTGCCCCCGATTCAATCTGCGCTCGATGCGGACTGTTGGGTATCTTTCAAATCCTCGTAGTTTGCGGTGAGCATGTCGGGCCAGCGGGTGCAGACCTTGCTGGCGATGCCGTTGATCGACAATTTCTCCTGTACGCCTCGGGACGCCAAGCGCACCGCCGCTGCTCAACACGCGGGATGGGAGCAGGCTTGCTGCCACCACTGGCGCGCCTCCCGGACACCAGCACTACCCGGCCACCAGCATCTCGTCGGTGTTGAACAGGGGCGACAGCAGCCTGGGGGAGTCGTCAGTGACCAGCACCATGTCCTGTAGGTGCCAGTAGCCGATGTGCGGCTCGAGGGCCACCACCATGCCCTCCTCCAGGGCGCGCGTGCTGGACGGCACCATGTAGGGCTCCTGCTGGTGCCACCAGGGCCCACGCCATGCCCGGCCAGGGACACGTTGCCCTGGAACCCGGCTTCGTGGAAGCTGTCGTTGGCAAAGTGGTAGATGTCCGCCGTCCGCGCCCCGGGGCGGCACCGCTCGATGGTGGCGCGGTAGATGTCTCTCGTAACCCGGTAAATCCGCTTCTGCTCGTCTGAGGGCGCGCCCACGCAGACGCTCCGCGACTGGTGGCCGGGATAGCCGTTCAGGTATGCGACATAATCGTTGCGGATGATGTCGCCCGCCTCAAATGCCATGTCGCTTTCGCCGCCGTAGGCCACGGTGTTGCGGCTGGAGTTCAGGATGCCGTGGGCCCAGTTGGCGCCCCGGCGCAGGCAGCTCTCGATTATGCGGCTATGCGCCAGCCGTTCCGTGTCGCCGGGCCGAACCGTGGGCAGAACCTCCAGGTACGCTTCGTCCAAAAGCCGGGCTCCGGCTTCGAGCGCGGCCACCTCTTCGGGAGTCTTGATCCAACGCACCCGGTCCATCAACTCAGTGCTGTCGACGATACGCGCCCTGGGCAGCAGGCCGCCAATTTCCTCCCAACGATTCGCGCTGACGTAGCTCTTCTCGAACCCGATGGTTTCCTCGGCCAGCCCCAGTTGCCGAAGCACATCGACTGCCCTCTCGTAGGGCGACTCAGCGTAGTCGTCGACGACCTCGATGCGTTCCAGCCACGAGTCGCGGCGGGCCAGCGGAGCGGCGTAGGAGTTCAGCAACATCACCGGCTCGCCCGTGCGCGGCCACACCAGCAGCACCTCCCGCGGCGAATCCGGGAACTCCAGGTGCCGCGCCAGTGTGCCGGGATAAGCGAACCCAGCCAGGTAGGTGAAGTTCTTGCCCGAGCGGGCGACTATGGCCGAAACGCCTGCTTCGTCCATCAGCCGGTGCAGCCGCTCTACGTTGGCGATTATCTTGCCGTAAGCGTTGGACATAACCCTCACTCTCCTTCCGGGGTGGTGTCGTCAAAACAACTTGGTCCAAAGGACTGGCGCTCAGATTGCCAATGCTCAGGCGGGCGGTGGCGATTCTCCTTCCTGGAGGAAGCCCGGCAGTGGCCTCGAAATGTTGTCAGTAGCCCTTTTTAGCCACCCTGCTCACCCGCTCGGTACGCGATCGTCAACAGACTGCTCGGTAGCATTCTATAGGAACTACTGGACAGTGGAGGGGGAGGAGTTGGAGTGCGCTTCGATTGGGGTTGTGGCCGCACAGGGCATCATGCGTACCCACTTTGTCATTGCGACCGTAGCGTGGCAATCTCGTCGCCGTAGCAACGGCGGTTGGCCGGCGCGTGTTCAACCTCATCGAGATTGCCGCGTCGCAATGCTCCTCGCAATGACAGATTAAAATGGGTAGGCGTGGCGGGAGACGGCTGCATGCCTACCCACTTTGTCATTGCGAGCGTAGCGTGGCAATCTGGTCGCCGTAGCAACGGCGGTTTGGCCGGCGCGTGTTCAACCTCATCGAGATTGCCGCGTCGCAATGCTCCTCGCAATGACAGATTAAAATGAACACGCGTGGCGGGGACACGGCTGCTTGTCCCAATAACAGTGGTCTGATATAAGAACAGGAAGTATGGCGTTCTCTTTGTCGGCTCTCCTCAACCGGCGTCTCAACACCCCCTTTTACTACGGCTGGCTGGTGCTCGGACTTTCGGGCTTTGGGGCTTTCGTGGCTACGGCGGTGGCGGGGGTGGTGCTGGGAGGAGTGCAGAGCTACATTCTGGAGGACACCAACTGGCCCCGGACCAGCATCGGGCTGGCCTCCAGCTGCGGCGTTTGGATGTCGGGGGTCTTCGCCCCCTTCGCCGGACGGCTGGCGGACCGGTATGGCCCCCGATGGCTGATGCCGGTCGGCGTGATTGTCCTGGGGCTGTCCATGGTGACCATCGGCGGGGTGCATGCCGCGTGGCAATTTTTCCTGGCGGCGGTCATCGGTCGGGCCATCAGCCAGCCTTTCCTCATCGGCGTGGTGCCGCGGACCATGGCGGTCAATTTCTTCAACCGGCGACGCAATATTGCGTTGGCCATCACCGGAATCTATCGTCCCGTCAGCGGGGCGCTGATCATCCAGGCGTTCTCCGTCATCACACTGTTGGCGGACTGGCGCATGGCCTTCCGGCTGCTGGGGGTATTCAGCCTGTTGCTGGCCGTCCCCATGATAATCGTCATGCGCCGGCGCCCGGAGGACATCGGTCTGCTGCCCGACGGTGCCCGGGCCCCGCCCGCAACGGGACCATCCGACCCCGCTCCGGCGGGACGGGGCGGGGTCGGCGCGACACGCGGGACGGCGGTAGCAGAGGTGAGCTGGACGTCCAAGGAGGCAATGCGATCCAAGGCCTTCTGGATGGTTTCAATGGTCGCTTTTCTCAATGTTACGGGCAGTTCCGGCCTGGGGTTCAGCCTGGTGCCCTACCTGCACGAGTTTGCGGGGTTGACCACTCCGCAGGCGGCAGGCGTGCTGAGCGTGAGCACATTCCTGGCGTTGAGCAGCCTGGTGTGGGGACAGTTGGCGGGAAAGCTGACGCCGCGATGGTGCATCGTCGGTGCCATGGGGGTGGCGACGCTGGCGACGCTGGCTTTGCTGCAGGTCAACTCGCTGGTGGCGGCGTATGCCTTCGGGGTGTTCTGGGGGCTGTTCCACAGCGCGCTGGAAGTGCTGCTGTACATGGTGCTGGCGGATTATTTCGGGCGGAACTCCTACGGAGCCATCATCGGGGCGATGCGTCCCTTCGAGGCCGCCGGGCTGGGACTGGGACAGATTGTGGGGCCAGTGGTTTACGACCTGACGGGCAGCTACGCCATCCTGATCCTTTTCTCGGCGGCGGTGCAGGGGATGGCGATGTGCCTGATGTTGCTGGCGCGGCGTCCGGAGCAGCGGACACCACTGGCGGCGCAAGCGGTTAGCTAATATCCGGTCGCAGATGGCTGATCAACCACCAATTTTGCCGCCTGGCAGTACACGGTTGCTACGCTCATGAGTGTCCTCCGGTGGCATGGGCGAAGACAGAGCGAGGCGGACGACACGCCAGGCTGGCGTGGGCAATGGCAGTTAGGCCACAGCCTCGTGTTCCAGGGCGTGCGCCAGGATGCGTTCCATCCGGCGCACGCCCACGATGTCCACGGCCGGGCCCAGGTCGAAAAATCATTTCCGCGAATGCCGTAATCTACCGAACCGTCACTAGTTGGCCAGACCACTTGAAACAAGACCCTACCCCGGGGTAAGGGTTACCTACGCCCCGGCCGGAGCCGACCAGCTGGTGTTGCCCTCCTGCATCGCAAAGGGCGGGGAAGTGGCGGAGACGTAGATTAGCTTATCCTCCCCAATGTTGCGTATGAAGTGGTTGGTGCCCGGCGGCACCAAAATGGCCGTGCCCGGCCCGACCTCTTCCACCTCGTCCCCAACCCGCATCGCACCCCGTCCCTGGACAATGACGTACACCTGTTCCCGACCTTCATGGGAGTGGACCGTTTGTTCGCTGCCCGGTTCACCTTCAACCCATGTTACGGCCAGGTTCTCCGATCCAAACTGACCCGAGGCCAAAAGCAAGTGCGACACCTGCCCGCCCCGGTGGTTCTGTGGGCTCCGCTCCAAAGTCTGGATGTTCATCCGCAAAGTCTCCTGTTTTGAGTTTGGCATGAAATCTTGGTTTCTTTCGCAACTGGCATTCCCGCTACAACGGGAATGCCGTGGAGTTCCCATCCTATCACCCAGCAGGCGGACGGATGCCATGATCGTCAAGCCTAGCGACGATGACTGCTTTAAAATGTCCCACGACCGGATGGTGGGCCGGGCGCTGGCGCCGGAAGATTTACGAGGCGCACGAGGCGGATACGATGCCATCGTTGTTGAAGCAGGAATCCACTTCAGGACTGTAGATGAGCAGATGGGTTTGAGTTAAGAGCCGGCTTGATCGGTCAGGCGTACCCACTTTGTCATTGCGAGCGTAGCGTGGCAATACCGTGGCTGTAGTTACGCCGGTTCGCCGACGTGTGTTCAACCTCATCGAGATTGCCACGTCGCTATGCTCCTCGCAATGACAGATTAAAATGGGTATGCGTGACGGCTTGATCGGACTTGACAATAGTAGAGGCCGATAATAATCTTGTCCGCTGGTTGTTCTGCCGGTGCATCAGAGGGCGCGCGTTGGATCACAACCACCGAATCAGGCTCAACATGAACCCCAAACCCAAAATATTCCACGGGTGGTATATCGTCGCCTGCGGGTTCTTGAGCCAGGGAATGCGCGTCGGCTTGGGAGCTCAAACGTTCGGCTTCTTCTTCAAGCCGATGATTGAGGAACTAGGATGGAATCGCACCGTGATGACCGCCGCACTCCTGGTTAGAGACCTGGTCAGTTCCGGTGTCTATCCCGTCTTTGGATACGCCGTGGACCGCTATGGTCCCCGATTCCTAATGGCGGGCAGCGCCGTAGGGTTGGGCATATCGCTGATGCTCCTGTCCCAAACCCGGGAAATCTGGCAGTTTGTTCTGTTCTACGGGGTCATCGGCACCTTCGGAGTTCCCGGGCTCGGTTACGGCGTAGTCAGTCCGACCACTCGCAAGTGTGTAATTATGCGCCACCGGGGCCGGGCAACCGGCATTGCAACCGCCGGCCTGAATGTGGGTGCGGTGGCGTTGACACCCCTGATATTGTTCCTGATCCAGGTATCTGGATGGCGGGCAGCCTGGTTCTTTCTCGGTTTCGTTCCCTGGATCGTCGTTGTGCCGCCCACTCTCTACTCTGGCTTCGCAGGCAGCCGGAAGACATGGGATTGTTGCCGGATGGGGACGCCCGTATGGAAGCGCCAGAAGCGGATGAAAAGCAGGAACCCGGTCGCGAACGCGAGGAGCCGGCTGATGAGGTAAGTTGGACGGTCGGCCAGGCGTTGCGAGCCCCGGCATTTTGGATACTCGTTGCCTACGAAGTGTGGTCGGGAATGTCGATAGGTGCTTTGATAATCCACCGGATCCCGTACGCAACGGACCTCGGATTTTCCGATGTACAAGCAGGGGTCTCGTTCGGAATCTACGGTGTTTGCGCGTTCGCGGCCAAACTGGCTTGGGGATTTTTGGCAGACCGTTACTCGATTTGGCTGCTGGCCATGATCGTGTTAATTGGCAGCGCAATCAGCATATTCGCTGGCGTCGGTTCAACGAGTGTTTGGCAATTCCACGTAACATTCGGAGTGATGTACGGTCTCACTGGAGGTGCGTTGGTCGTGATTGGCCCCCTGCTGTGGGCGGCGCATTTTGGCCGACGGCACCAAGGCGCGATCAGAGGCGTGATGAGCCCGTTCTACCTCATCGCCAGCATTGGCGGGCCGATGTTCGCTGCGTTGGTTTACGACCATTTCGGAAGCTACGATGTTGCTTTCAGAGTGTTCGCGGGGTATTTTGTGGTCAGCGCGGCACTAATCTGGTTGGCGGGACGTTGGGGGAATCAGCGTCCCCGGACTGATTCCTGACTGGTGATGTGTCGCTACTAGATGCGTTCGGTCCGGACGGATCATACATGGAACACAGATACCCGTCTTACAAGAAGGCCCCTTCGGGGACTGGCGCAGTTGCAATGCGTTCCGTCTGCAACTGCTGCTAGAGGGCCGATTCCACATTACGAGTCGAGAGTGACTCCTAACTGCGCGCTGGACGGAGGTGCATATGACGCTGGCCGATTTCACCTCGTCAGTCAAGTGGGCCGTGTCCCCTCCATGACCGTGCGGCTGGACGGGCAGCAGGAAGTCAGGTTTCAACGCTTGATGGAAGAGTCGATAATGATCGACCTTCACCAGCATCCGATGGTCCTGCCCGAAGACTTCAGCCGATATTGGGAGTACCTCCGCAGCAACAGCTACGTATGGGGTTACGATGCGGTAAGAGAAGGCGGCTTTACCGCCGTGGGAACAGCCAACGTATTTCGCGGAATGCTGCACACCAACGAGATGTCCTTCATCCGATTCTCCGATCTGCTGGACGAGATCAGCATGATGATTTCGGACATTTCACGACATGACGACGTGTTCCAGGTCAGTAATGCCGCCGACATAGAGTCGGCCAAGCAGCAGGGCAAGGTGGGGTTCTTGCCCACGGTGGAGCATCTCGCCATTGGCAATGAGCTAAACCTGGTGGACGTGCTCTATAACACGGGAATACGGCTGGCTGGCCTGACATATAGTCGCAAGGCCTACATTGGGGACGGCATCTTCGAGCGCAATGACGGGGGCCTTAGTGAGTTCGGGCTGGAGGTTGTTCAACGTATGAATGAACTGGGGATGGTTGTCGACGTGTCCCACGCCTCCTTCCCAACCGCCATGGATGCCATCGAGGCATCGAAAACTCCGGTTACCTTCAGCCACGACGGTTCCTACACCCTCGCCAGCGACAGTTTTCAAGCCCGAAGGTTGAGAAAGGACGAGGAGTTGCTGGCCTGCGCTCAGAAGGGCGGCATCATCGGGATAACCGCCGTGCCCAACCGGCTCAGCAACGACCCGGAGCAAAGTATCGAAAGCGTGCTGGACCATTACGATTACATGGTCAACCTGGTGGGGGTGGATCATGTAGCCATCGGCACCGATACCGGCATTGGCGACACGGTGGGCGTGGGGCAAGTGGTGATGGGCCGCACCAATCCCGCGCCGGCGCCCTATCTGAACGGTCTGGAGTCCCCTGCCGACGGCAAGAACATCGTCCGTGGCCTGATAGCCCGTGGGTATTCTGATGAGGACATCAAGAAAATCGTCGGCGGCAACGCCCTGGCATTTTTCAGGCGGATTATGGCGTGAGCCGTCTCACCCTGCCAGCCAGGTCCCGAGGCTTGCGCCTTTATTCGAGCTTTTATGTACGCAGGTCAGGGGTAGCTCCCTGCCCCGAGCAAACTGACTGTCCCGCCATATTGCCTCTCCGGGCCCGCACCAGATAGAGGGGGCATTCCGGTGGTGGACGTATGCCGCAAGATAGGCACCAGCGAGCAAACTTTCTCCAAGACCTGTAGAATCCCTGACAGGTTAGCCTGAAGGAGGCCAATGTCCATCATGAAGTTTGCCCTGTTTTTGCTGGGTTCCTGGACAGAGCAGGAGAACAGCGCCCAAAGCCGGATCTTTGGTGAAATGCTGGAACAGGCTGAATACGCCGAAGAGTTAGGCTTTGATTCGATCTGGATCGCGGAGCATCACTCCAGCCGGTACGGCATCTGTCCCTCCCTGATGCCGCTGCTCAGCCACATCGCCGCACGTACCAAGAAGATCCGGATCGGGGCTGGCGTCAGCGTCTTGCCTTTCCACAATCCCATTTTCCTGGCTGAAGAGAGCGCCATGCTGGACGTTCTAAGTCATGGCAGGCTGGATTTCGGCGTTGGACGTGGTTCGGCAGATTATGAGTACGGCAATTTCAATGTCGACTTTGACACCCGGGACGCGCGAACCAAGGAGGCCTGGACATTATCCTGGGACTGTGGACCGGGGACGACTTCACGTTCCAGGGCGAATTTTATCAGGTGAGCGACCTGACAATAGCTCCCAAGCCCGTGCAACAGCCCCATCCCCCGGTGTATCTGGCCGTGTCCCGCACCCCCGCCAGCGTGGACGTTGCCGTATCGCGAGACCTGCCCATCCTGACCAGTTTCTCTACCCCGGAGGCCGATAACCTGGGCCTGTTTTCCCTTTACGCTGAACGTTGCGCCGCTGCCGGAAAGGATCTGCCCCTGGAGGAATTGCCCTATTTCCGGTTTGTGTATCTGGACGAAGACGAACTGGCAGCCCGGGAATACCCGCGCCAGTCTCTGACCTGGGTCCGGGATCTGGGTGGTTATCGGCGCACTTTGACCCACGGCGATGAAATCAATGTGGACCTGGACCACTGGCGTCGAACCCGCACCGTCGAACCGGCCACTTATGAATCGGAACTGGAGACTACTGCTTACTTTGGCACGCCGGAGCAATGTGTGCAGCGAATCACCAAGTTACGCGACGAACACGGCATCGGGTACTTTGGCGCCAGCATGTCCTTCGGTAGTATGTAGCACTCCAGAGTATTGCGTTCAATGGAGCTTTTCGCGAAGGAAGTGATGCCCAGGTTTCGGCAATAGAACTTGTTCATGCAACGGGCGTCTGATGGTGCCTGCCTCGACACGTTATGCCAGCAGACTTTGCCTGTCAGATTTACGCCGCGAAGACTCGCCACATCTACCTCACGAGGATAACCCTCTTAAATTCATTGATGAAACGGCTTGCCGGCGTTTTCGCGGCGCGGTCCGGACCGCAACATTCCGTCCGAAGGGAAGGCTTATGCCCATACCCCGCACCTCCAGAATCGATTTATTCCGAGTCGCCCTTCGTGAGCATAAATCCCGCCGGACCGTTGTTTATACGGCTCCCGGCTCGCTCGGCATGATATAGTCGGCGGCAGATACGAGCGAACTGTTAAGGTCGCAATCGCACCGGTGGTTGGATGACGCCATCCGCCGAATCACCCAAACGCAGAGAGAGACGGTCATCAGTCCATTGGTGGAGGGCCGTCATTCCGACAAACCAGTATCAGGAGGCCACCATGCCCGATAGTTTGGATCAAATCGTAGAATCCTCCGAAGCGGAACGGCTGGCCACCGGGTTCGAGTTCACCGAAGGGCCCCTATGGCATCCGGATGGCTACCTGTTGTTCGTGAACAACCGAATCAACGTCATCTATCGCCTGACGCCCGGCGGCGAGCCCGAGGTCATACGGGAAAACAGCGGGGCCGCCAATGGTCTGACCTTCGACCTCCAGGGCCGTCTGATAATGTGCGAAGGGGACAACCGGCAGATAACCCGTTGGGAACCCGACGGGTCCATCACCGTAATCGCCGACCGCTGGGAGGGCAAGCGGCTACACCGGCCCAACGATGTGGTGTGCCGCTCCGACGGAAGCATCTACTTCACCAGCCCCGGCCTTCGCCTGCCCCCGGAAGAGCGGGAAATCGACTTCCACGGCATCCACCGCATCGCGCCCGACGGCACGGTGACCGCCGTGATCACCGACCTGGAATCGCCCAACGGCCTGGCCTTCTCTCCCGACGAAACTATCCTGTACGCCGACAACACCCGCCGCGGCGACGAATGTGCCGCGGAGAAGGAGCGGGGGGAGGTTTGTACTCACCAGTACATCCGGGCCTACGACGTGGCCCCAGATGGCTCGGTGAGCAATAGTCGGCTGTTCGCCAACATGCACTCGGCGGAGGACGGCGTCCCCGATGGGATAAGGTGATACCGACGGCCGGGTGTACTGCACCGGCGCGGGAGGGGTTTGGGTCTTCGAGCCGGACGGTTCCTTGGTGGGGATAATCCGGTTGCCCGAGATTCCGGCCAACTGCGCCTGGGGTGACCCCGACTACCGTACCATGTACTTCACCGCCCGTAGCTCAGTTTACCGGATGCGGATGAAGACCACCGGGATCAACCCTTGGCGGGGCGGCTAACCGGCCCTTTCCGTTTACCCAAGCGTCCGCAGATTCCAGTGCGTTCGTGGTTCTCCGAGTAGGCCGGGCTGCCGTACCGGGGAGAAGGAGGAGCAATCTCATGGTAGGACGCGACCTAATCGGCTACGGCCCCAACGCGCCGGTGGTTGAATGGCCTAACGGCGCCCGGATTGCCGTATCGTTTGTCGTCAACTACGAGGAGGGGTCCGAAAATTCCATCCTGGATGGGGATCCTCATGGCGAGACGGTTGGCGAGTCGCCGTCGCCAGTAGCCAGAGGAGAGAGGGACCTGGCAAATGAGTCTTTCTTCGAGTATGGGAGCCGGGTCGGCGTGTGGCGCATCCTCGACCTGTTGGATGAGTACGGAGTCGACTCGACATTCTTTGCCTGCGCTTTGGCCCTGGAACGCAACCCGGAAGTGGGGCCGGAGGTGGTTCGCCGGGGACACGAGGTAATGGGCCACGGCAACCGTTGGGAAGAATACTACAGGATGGATCGGGACGCTGAACGGGAGGCCATCAATCAGGCCGTGGCCTCCATCACCCGCATCACCGGGCAGCGGCCTCTGGGTTGGTACACGCGTTACGGACCCAGCGTGAACACCCGGGAGCTCGTGGTAGAGGAGGGCGGTTTCGTCTACGACTGCAACGCCTACAACGACGACCTGCCCTATTACACTGATGTCCACGGCAACCCGTGGCTGGTGGTGCCCTACTCGTTGGAGGTCAACGACTACGGGTTTTGGCGCGGCCAGTTGTCAACGCCCAACGACTTCTTCGAGGCGGCTCGCAACTGCTTCGACACTCTTTACCGGGAGGGAGCAACCCACCCCAAGATGATGTCCGTAGGACTCCATTGCCGCATCATCGGCAAGCCGGCCCGGGCGGCGGCGTTACGCCGGTTCCTGGAATATGTGAAGGGCAAGCCCGATGTTTGGCTACCCCGTCGCATCGACATCGCCCGGTGGTGGCTGGGCAATTACCCGGCCTGATAGATGAGGATCCGTTTTGCCTTCGGTTTCCGATTTGCCGGGGGTCTTGGATTCCCGCCTGTGAGAGAAGGGCGGTGGGGCTCAGCGCGAGCTGGAAGGGCAGAGGCTGGGGTTATTCTTCCGCGATTCGGGCGGCGGTGAAGAAGTCGGCGTCGGCGAAATCTGCGAAGCGTTCGGGCAGAAATTCACTCATGTCGGAGACGATCCGAGTTGAACCGCGGCAGATATAGTCTGTGATGATGCGGCCAGTGATGGGCCCTAAGTGGATGCCCTTGGTGGTGTGGCCGGTAGCCAAGAGGACGCCTTCTCGACCGGGGACCGGGCCAATGATCGGTTTGCTGTCGGGACTCAGGGGGCGGGAACCGGCCAGCTGTTGAACCAACTCGGCACGCTCCAGGTCTGGAAACACATCGATGGCGCGCTGGAGGAGTTCCAACCGGGCAGATTCGGTGGGCTGGCGGTCGAACTCCTCGCCCCAGAAAAGCTCTTTCTGGTCGTAGTCCCGACCGCCGGTGCTGCCGACGCTGGTCAAACCGTCCATACGACTGATCATGTGACCGCGCTTGGGAGAGCTGATCAGCACCGGAAGGGGTTCGCCGGGGTAGTTGAGCAAAAGGCGCTCTCCCTTCATGGGCGGACCGGAACGGGGAAGCCCAGCCAGGGAGTGAATGCCCGGCTCCAGGTGCCGGCGGCCACCACCACGGTGCCGCAGTGTATGTCTTCGGAGGCCGTCTTGACGCCGGAAATGGTGGGGCCGCTGGTGACCAGGCCAGTTACTTCCCGGTAAAGGATGTTGGCGCCCATGAGTTCGGCGCCTCGGCCCAGGGCCAGGTTAAGACGGTAGCTGTCCACCTGGGCGGACTCGTCCTCATACACGGCGCCGATGATGGAGGGGGAGAGGCGGGGTTCGATGGAGTGGACTTCGTGGGCGTCAATCCAGTGCATATTGACGTGGGGTTGCTGCCAGACCATCAAGCTTTTAATCAGACCGGCCTCCTCGTCGTCCAGAGCCAGCCGGAGCGAAGGGCGACGCTGGTAGAGCAGGTCCATGCCGGTGGCGGATTCCAGTTCGGGGACGATCTGTTGAAACTCGGAGGAGGAGGCCCGGGCAATTTGGAAGGATGCCCCGGGGGAGAACTCGGCGCCCAGCAGGCTGAGGGAGCCGGTGGCGTGAGCGGATGCCCCGCTGCCAATGGCATCCCGTTCCAGGATGGTCACGTTGACGCCTTCCCGGGCCAGATAATAGGCGACCGAGCAACCGACCACACCGGCGCCAATCACAACTACGTCCGCAGTTTTAGGCAATCCCCTGCCCTCCAATGAGAGTCCTTGGGATTATCGCCGCAGGCCGCAGGAGTGTCAATTTGGGTGGGTTTTTCACATGGATTGACAGGATGCACAGGTTGGGTACTTGCCCTTACCTCTGTCGCCACGTCATCTTGGAGACGCCTCATGGCGCCCCGAATCATTTCCCCATATCGCGCGAAGCAAATGGCCAGAGAATTTGTCAGCGCGAGCGGTTCGTGATGAGTTGGGAGAGTGGTCTAAACTGTGTTCGTGATCCGACGCCGGTGTTAGTACCACCTGCGTTGTTAGTCCGACGATGACCCGGACGGAGGTTGCCCCAGCGCCTGTCGGCACCGCGAATTCCCGTGCCCGGGCACGCAACGCGGTCTTAACCTGATGCGTACCCGCTTCGTCTTTGTGAGGAGCACAGCGACTTGGCAATCTCGATCGGATTGAACGCATGCCGACGAACCGCGGTTGCTACGGCGACGAGATTCCCACGCTACGCTCGCAATGACAAAGTGGGCACGTAAATCCGGCTCAGCTCGTTGCCACGCCCAGAAGCCAGTTATGAATGGACAGCCAATTAGATGCGGCGAACCTGAATCGACGACATTGCCAGGCGCGTGGGTTCGACCCACGCTCCCGGCACCGGTCCGCCGTTGCTGATACGGCGGTTCGCCGGCTACTGCAGGTTTCGCAGCAGGCTGCCGTAGCCGTCTATCGGCTTCGACCACCCCAGCCGCCGGAGGGCCATCCAGATGGTGGCCTGGTTGACGGTGATGACGGTCTTGCCAGCTTCTGCTCCAGTTCTCTCCGTCTGCGTCCAGCGCCGCCTAGGCCGTGCCGGGCAGGACCAGCCATGGTCTCGGCCTCTTCGTGCACCACGTGGCACGAAGGCGATCGATGATGGTCTGGGGAGGCTCGGCGTCGATTTCGCGAGGGTTCATCGAGTCCTGCATCCACGGCTCGCCGTCGGCGCTGAGTACCTCGAAGCCGGCCTCTTCCATCAGCGGTTTGAGCCGGTTTCGCAGGTGGAAGTTGCGGTATGGACCAGCGATGCTCAGCCGGCGGCTGCCCATGTGCCGCATGGCGGCGATGCAGGAAGTTACAGCGGTTATTGATTGGACGCCGCTGGCTGCCTCCATGATTTCCGCCATCCGCTGATCGTAGGCCATATAGCCCTTATGCCACGTGCCGGAGGTGCAGGCATAGACCAGAACGTCGGGACCGATGTTGGACAGGGCGCTGGCGCCACGGGCCACATCGTCGTTCATCTTGCCGACGTCGAATCCGAACAGCGCCCAGTCGACTTCGTTGGCTTCGTTGCTGGTCATACTGAGACGGTGCCCGGTCTCGCTGGAAATTTCCGGCTGAGTTCCCCAAGTGCCGTTCCACATACGCTCGAAGTGCACCGTGATTTCCGGCGGCACCACCCGGTAGAAGTCGGGTTCTACCACCGGATTGGTGGCGGGAACCAGGGCGCCGATTCGGTGCGTGTTGGTCAGATTCGCCATTTTGCTCCGCTCCAAGCCTTTTTCGACCGTATTATACAACCCGGATAATGCATGGAATACGGAGCAGGCGCGGAGGTCTTGGATTGTTTACCCACGGCAATCATGTCCCGACTGCGACCTTTGGCACATTGCCTCTGGTCGATTCGTCCTATAATTTCTAATTCTAGTTTCTCCTGAGAGTGAGTTAGACGCTCCTCGCCATCCCAACCAGTCATTGGAATGACGCCGCGTTACGACCTTTCTGTTTCTCTTTTCTTCTTTTTCTCCCTGCCGGATATCGACAACTTCTGGTTCACCCTGCTGCCTGCACGAACTGGCCAATGTTGGCTGCACCTGGCGGCTCGGGTCTGAGATGTCGCGCGTTCGTAGACGGTCTCAGCCTACGCGCTCTTGAAGTGGGTGTGGCAAACACACGAACTCGATGCCGACCGCTGGGCGGAGCAAACGCTGATCTCGGACGAAGTCTGGCAACCCTGCGCAGCCATGGACCACCTTTGACCGATGATGGTCCTGGTATCCACCGGTCACCCGCAGATCATCCAGTGGTTAGCGGATGCAGCCGCTCACGCTGTGCCTTTGAGCTGGAGGTCGTCGCGAGATGTTGGAATCAGAGGTCAGTAATCTCGGTTGTAGTCAGCGCTACTACTCTCAATAGTAGAGCGCCATGGGTGCGATACAGGCAAAAGGGTCATGAGGGTCCAAGCATATATGGACTTTTGGCGGCCACGCCAAT